CTAGGGCCCAAGCCGGCCGGTCTTGAGACCGACTGGTGACGGGCGGGCGTAGCCTGCTCCTTCTGAGGGACGCGGACTGAAGTGGAGGCCGACGAAACGTTGATGGCAGCCAATTTGACCGAGACTCAGATCATTATCAGGCTTGTTCGCCGGTTGTGTAGTCTTGCTTCATGACTAATATGCGATCGACCAATGAAGATGTGACGCATAGGCGTTTCTGCGTTGCTGCGAGTCTTTGCACCGCATTTATGCGTGGTTTATCCCCGCTGTTGTGCTGTGATCAGCACCGTGACCAAATAGGCGCGCCATGGCACGCGGCCTTAGGTCAATATGCTCGACCTAGCGTCATGCGCCTGTCGCTAATTAGGTCGCCCGTTTACAGTGTTTACCTTGCATTTTCGCCCTTCGTGACCGTCATATTTACCAGCACGGGTAATACGGGATGGCATAATTAGGCGTTACATTTAATCTATCGCTCGCGTGGCGTCGCCATCCCCACGAAAGCTAGACAGCCCGTCTGCCCCCCGGGGAAATACGGCCGAGGGCCGTGGGAGACCTGCCTTAATAAGGACCTGCTGCCGAACGTCGACAGAGACCGCGCCGGCAGACGGGGCCGGCGGTTTGAGGTATCGAACTGGAGCGACTGATGCTGGATTTATTGCGGCGTGCAGAGGGCAGATGGCGGATTTATGGCGTTGCTTGGAGATGACTTGGAAAATGATCAATCACCGATTGCCAGTGTTATCGGGCAAACTTGTGTCTTGAGGCTCGAAACCCATTGAACAGGAGCCATATGTGGATCATTCATTGTCAAGGTTGGGAGATGAAGCATGTTCAGCGCGTCGAGAATCATCCACGATATGCATCTCGTTTGTAACGATGCATCCGATGTCAGTCATGACTTCCTTCACGCTCACCAGCTTCGCCAGTCTCACCGCTTTCCGCAGCATTTGGGATACGACCCACGAGCCGAAGAACGCTTGGATGTAAACCAACACCAGTGAGATTTTAGACCGATGTAAAACCTACAAAACCGTAGGTCTTACTTAGGTCAATATGTGCTATCTTTCACCGCCTACCTGTCAGGCTGGTCCAAAGTAGATCAGTTTGCGATTCTTGCCATTTTCACACACCTGCGCATGTGTCACTTTAAACTCGTGCCTCGAACACAGTTGAACTGCACTCATGATAGGCACGTTTTAACTCAAATTGCACGTTATTTGCCAGAATTCAGTTGTGAGTTCAGCGCGTCGAAATTTCGTCATGATGCGCCTAAGGGTCGGCAGATATCTCCAAAAACTGCAGTGGAGCTGCACCAACCCGACGTTCTGACGAGGATTAATGGCGAGACAGAATGTTCACATGTCCTCACGCCCGTGACATGACGGCGGTAGTGGGAGGCGCCCTCCAGAGCGCATCTGTCCCCGTTACGCGGCGCCCTCCAGAGCGCATCTGTCCCCGTTACGCGGCGCCCTCCAGAACGCATCTGTCCCCGTTGCGCGGCGCCCTCCAGAACGCATCTGTCCCCGTTGCGCGGCGCCCTCGGCCGCCCCGCCCCCGCATTGAAGACGCCTCATCCGAATGCGAGGCACCGCCTCGGATTTTCCTATCTGCCGGCGCTTTGCGGATGCAAATGGCGCGGGTTTTATTCGCGTCGTATCTGCGCGACTGTGCCGGCATTATATCCAGCCAAATAAAGACAAATTGTCATGGATCCCAGTGGACGCGCCGGCTGTGTTCCGCCGCGCCTGAGCCGTCGGCCCGCCGCCCTGGCGGCCGGGCCCCAGATTGCATCGCGGCTACAAGTGTCGGCGAATTATGCAAACTGGCGCCGGTGGATGGCCCTACGGGCCCTCTGCATGCGCCGGGAGATGAGATGGCGGGATTTAGTGGTGAGCGAGGCAAAAGTCAGCGTAATATGACGCTTTATAAGGTCGGAGCGACTCAAAGGGTGCGCGAACCCGGCCAGTCTCGTAACTTGCCAGACGGCTCGGCGCTGTCGACGAGGTAATGAACTGGCATAGCGTGCGCGTGCCCCCGCCCCGCCGTCCCTGCCTTGCTCGGCGGGTAGCGGGTGTAGCGCTGTCTCCGCCCGGCCTCTGCTTCCACGCCGAGGCCGACAGGGCGGCGGTCGCTGCGGCGAATAACAATAACACTGGCGCATTGTGACCGGGGTGCATGATATGCTTGTAATGAAAACAGCATTGGCTCATTATTCGGGCAGAGAGGCGGCCAGCGCGCCTGGCGACATTGTGAGTGTGACTGACGTGGTGAGACGAATGGCTGACGAGGCGGGCTGGAGCATCAGCACATCAGCACGTCAGCCCGTCAGCACATCAGTCGGGCTGTCTGCTCATTCCCCGCTGCTGGGCCGGGCGCACGTGCTTTCGTGGCCGTTCGTCCTGGTATATTGCGCTGGGCCATGAGCCAATGACTCGCCTTATGGCTGCGGCCCGGCCGCACTGACTTCGTTGCGCGTATACGACCGCGCGCAACCATATCACCAGCGTGGTCACCTGGCACCTCCGCCCGCCTCCGACAGCTCAGCAAGATCTTGTGCCGCCTCCTCTCCCTCTCTCTCTCTGGGCTCAGTCGGGCTCCTGCTCGGCCTTCCCGCGACCTGTGCCGGCCCAGCACCCACTCCCCTGCGTTTATCACAGCAGGACCGCCCCATGTCACCAGGCCGGTGCTAATTAATCGGCGCAGCCCCGGCCGTCGGGGGCGCGACCGGGCCTCGGGCGCGTCCCTGTGCTCCAATCGCGCCTTATTTATGTCCTCGCCGGGCCAGGGTAAACAGGGGGCGACTATTAAGTGGGCTGGGCGGGTGTGTTTCCTCATACCTGGCCGGGGCGGGCGACAGCGTGCCGGGCTATCAGTAACGGATGTGTCGCGCCGGGCCGTGACGTGTTTATTTTGGGTATGATGCATCGGGGCACAGCTGCAGCCCGGGCGCGTCGCTCGACGCGCCGTAACCGGCCGTCGGTGCCGACGACGGCCGCCGGACGTCGTCGGCACCGACTTTGTGCCCGCCCCGCTCTTCGCCTCAGCTTCGGCGGAATATGCAAAGTGCCTGGACTAGACGTATTATGCGAATTTATCGGTGCCGTTATCCGCGGACATTTGCGGCCGAAACCTGCACCTGATGCTGATTTATGACTTGCTCTGGGGTTTTTAGCGGACCGCCAGAGAGTCGGTCCGTTAAGATAATTTTTTGCAGTTGCTTTACGCTGGTCGGAATCTGGATGAGCCTGCTTTTTCCTTGAAATAAGCTTGAATTTTGCCTTTCGCAGTTGATCATGTTCCTATGCTGCATTCGCGTCGAGTGTAATTCGAACAAATCTATTTGATAGGGCTTCAGGAGTCCAAGAGCCTCCTCGTCTTCGGTGTTGCAGATGGAGTCTCAAACTGATCTAGTTTAGTCACAAGTTGCAGCCTTTCTCTGGCACCATCAATTAGGCACTAATGGTACACGTATGCCCCGCGATGCACCATGGGAATCTGGCGACGCCTGCTGTCGGGTAGCTGCGTGCGACCGACTTGAAGCTGCCGGGCCCTTTCGTGACAGGCTCCCATTGCCTCGGCTGTTTATTTCAGAATAATTGAAATTCCGACCGCCGAGGGGGGCGACGGCCACAGCCCTGTGCGCCGTTCAGCCAGCAATCGGCGACGCACCCCGCCCGAGTGGCCCCCGAACTCCGTTCGTGGTCCTGTTTGTCACTTTCCGTCGGCATAAATATTAAATATTCACGGCAATGGCTGCCGTTTCGTACCGGACGACCCCATTTCCTATCGCAGGCAGCTTGCTGTTGTTTGTCGGTATGTTAATAAAGGGAGGTTTGGACGTTCGGAATAATCAGTTGCTTTTGTGCAGTGATGGCTGCTGCTATTTCGGCATGGCATCAGTCGGAGCCCTTTGTTTAGAACTATTCGTCGGTTAGGTATTTTGGCTTGTTTTTGCAGGTTCACGTTTCGTATATAGTGATATGTTGCGTTGCTGAAAGCTCCTTGCATTGAATCTCCTGTCCTTAAGCCACTTTGCGGAAGCCTGAGTTGAATGGACCTCCGCATGCTTTCAGGCCACGAAAGCATACGCTTCAAACTTATTCATGACTCGGCAGCCGGGGTTAAAAAGTTGGAAAGTTGTCTGTATCCCCGAGGACGCGAATCAGACCGTGCCTACTCTGTATGAAACGAAATATCAAATCTTGACCTAATCCTCCGCTGCCCACCTAGAACACTCGGAATAAGCATGTCATCGAAGAAACAGCTCAGACAAACCGCCAGCTGTCGGGCGGGCGACGGCGCGGCTGAGAAGCCATGTGAGCCGATCTCGGCGGTGTCGGCCCCGGCGACCTGCTGACAGATCGCGGCGGGCCCGCCGGCGCCGCCGCTATCCCCGGACCCATCGATTTGGCAGGCGGGCTATCTGCCGCGGCATCCGCCGGCGCCGCGACCCGACCGACGGTCGAACGGTCCATTACGCCGCCCTCGAGCGCGCCGCCGGCCGTCGGCCGCGGGTGTCGGACCACGCTGGCTGCCGACGGCGGCGACGCGGCGCCCTCGGCTGCTGGAGGGCACGGGGTGTGCGGCGGACGCACCCGGGGTGGCGGCGCAGCGCGGCTAGGGGGAGTGAATGGAATTATGATTCGCTTGCGGACTTTGAAACAGCGTTTTTTTTTTTTTTGCTCTCTGCACTCATACGCATACGGTGCGTTATCAGGCTCTGTTGAAGTCTTCTGACGTTTTTGTCGTTTCGTTCCCGTTGGCTTTGGACATATATTAAGCATCAGCTCACTCCACAGCTATCTTTTGCTGGGATCCGCGTTTGAATTTTTGGTTCGGGATCCAAATGTTTTTTTTTTCTTCTGGCACACAGATTCACGTGCGACAATCTCACGAGCTCGCTACACCATACCGGTGTTCACGAGCTGGAGGTAGAAGCGTCCACCTCAGACCTCATCCCGTCCAGCACTCGCTAACCCATTCTCGGTCCGTTCCAGAGCTGCTCAGATGCGCCTGTCGTCGCCGCACAAGAAGCGACGTCATCGCGACACGGAGGAGGAGCCGACGTCCGGTTTCAGCGCCGCGCTGCGCCGCGAGCCGCCGCCGCTGCCGGCCGCCCTGCAGCGGCGGCTCGGCACGCCGCAGGAGAGCACCGGACTGGGCAAGGTAGGGCCGGGAGAGCACTGGACTGGGCAAGGTAGGGCCGGGAGAGCACTGGACTGGGCAAGGTAGGGCCGGGAGAGCGCCGGACTGGGCAAAGTAGGGTAGGGAGAGCACCGAACTGGGTAAGGTAGGGCCGGGAGAGCACCGGACTGGGCAAGGTAGGGCCGGGAGAGTACTGGACTGGGTAAGGTGGGGCCGGGAGAGCACCGAACTGGGCAAGGTAGGGCCGGGAGAGCACCGGACTGGGCAAGGTAGGGTTGGGAGAGCACCAGACTGGGCAAGGTGGGGCAGGGAGAGCACCGGACTGGGCAAGGTAGGGTCGGAAGAGCACCGAACTGAGCAAGGTAGGGCTGGGAGAGCTCCGGACTGGGCAAGGTAAGGCCGGGAGAGCACCGGACAGCAGAAATGTGGCTACCACCTTCACATGCATAGAAAACGTACCGTTTGTTCTGTACCTTCCGTATGCTGTGTCATCAACACAAATATTCGATTCTTTCCGCGCATTACCGGGAAGAAAAAAAACGCGCTCGTTCCACATGTCGTCTCAGGCTGCAAACTAAGCTTATTTGCTCCACCTTGTAAAACACCATAACTAATGCATGGCAGCGGCTCTGATTTGCCCATCACCGTCGCTGATCCCAATTCCCTCCCTCCGGAAGTACAGCGACAGTGTTTACTCCCCTTATCTAGTCCAGCTGTAACTGTGTTCGCTGACACCCATATCCCTGCTGGGTCCGTTGTTTGCGGGCTTGGCCTGCTTCAGATACGCCTATCGGTGAGCCTATCTCGCGCTAATTGCTGAGGATATAAGGCTTCATACCACGACGTGCCCGTATTCCAATCGATAGCCTAACGTGCGCGGGCTGATTTACCTGTCTCGTGACATGGAACTGAGTTACGCCCCGGAATTCTTCAGTCACGCACCAGTGCGTGACTGAAGCAGTCGCAACACCCTGACTATGGCATCAAAGTTATTCTGTAGGCCAAGGCTTATTCAATGTTTCACACAGTACGGTACGTGTCATGCAGCTGCATTAAAAGGCAGTCACGAATACCTGCGCCGTGGTGTTCCTGTCGTCCGCGCGAGCCCACGCTCCTCGCCCAAAATACACCTCACTCCTGACCCGTCAGTCGCCTGTCTCGGGCCTCATGTGCGCAGCGGCGGCTCCGTTCCGGTCGGGAGCGACGCGTGCCGCTGCGGCCGACCCGGGAGGAGCCCGCTCCGCCGGCCGGGCACCTGTCCGAGCGCCGCAGGCGTCCTGACAGGTCACGCCACAGGGCGGCCGGCCGCTCGCCGGCCATAAACAAGGCCGCCCGGCGCCCGACGCACAATAATCGTAATGGCTATCGGCTGCGACGGAGGCCAGTGTTATTGCGCCGAGCCATGCGCGCCGCTGCTGGCCGACACGGGACCGATGACCGCCGCCGATGACGGCCGATGACTGTGACTGCCGATGACGGCCGATGACTGTGACTGCCGATGACGGCCGATGACTGTGACTGCCGATGACGGCCGATGACTGTGACTGCCGATGACGGCCGATGACTGTGACTGCCGATGACGGCCGATGACTGTGACTGCCGATGACGGCCGATGACTGTGACTGCCGATGACGGCCGATGACTGTGACTGCCGATGACGGCCGATGACTGTGACTGCCGATGACGGCCGATGACTGTGACTGCCGATGACGGCCGATGACTGTGACTGCCGATGACGGCCGATGACTGTGACTGCCGATGACGGCCGATGACTGTGACTGCCGATGACGGCCGATGACTGTGACTGCCGATGACGGCCGATGACTGTGACTGCCGATGACGGCCGATGACTGTGACTGCCGATGACGGCCGTCCTCTGGAGGCTCCCAGCCACCGAGATCTGGACATCAGCGCTGCTGGGCCCCCAGCCCGTGTATGCTCTTTTTTGTTCTTTGGCCGTGTGCGTTTGTTGGAAGAACCTCAGTCACAGCTAAGGTGTAACTGACCACTGAGCGCGAATATTCTTTACTTTATTGGCCTGCAGTTAGTGCCCACATAACTTTTTTTAACGAGTGCTTTCGTACACAGTGCTATTTAACGTGCAGTTGGTCATTGTTTCTTGATTATGGGCTAGAACACACAGCGGGCGGTCGTGTGGTAAACATCGGCTGGAGACCTTCGTCATGGACATTGCGCTACATGTAGTGATGGGCGGTGGTAACTGCACACAGTAGAATGCCTCATGTCAGCGACTTCACAGATTCAAAGTGAGCGCAGGACGTCAGCGAAATCGGTCGGTAAAAGGTTTCTGAAAGTTGAAAAGCATGCATTCAGCCATCACTTTATGAGCTTTGACAGACATCTGAAAGTTTTCTGTCCAATCCGGCTCTGTTTTCCTATGGGATTCCCGAGCTACATCTGCTGCTTATCAGACTTGGTAAACTTTAGCCTTTCAGATGTCTGGTAGTGGCCTATCATCAATTTTTACGCTCTCCTAGTCTCGACAATATGTCAAAAGTAATGTTTAAAATCTGTCACAGCCCATGCATACAGCTGTCGCTTGTCTCCACCGAGACTCTATCTGCCTCAGTGGGATGGACCGTTCCAGCCGATGACAGGCTTAGGGTGCTCATCTGCCGCGGATCACGCGCGCACGGCGTCCCCAGCCGGCCAGGCGCCGCGTAGCCGCGGCGCTCCGCAGAGCGTCGGCCCACGACCAGCGCTCCGACCAGCGCTCGGACCCCAGAGCCCGACGCTTCCGCCCGACCGAACACGGTTTTCCTCTCAAACTGTTTTGGGCGGCGCCGCGGGGCTGACGCGGCGGACGCGACGCGCGCGGGAACAGTCCTTGCATGGCGGCCGCAGCCGGCGTGCCGGCCGTGCCTGGACCGTGCCCGGTCGTGCTCGGCGCGTAATGGCGTGGAAAGCGTTATTAGATCGGCGCTGGGGCTACCGTCCGGGCCCGGCGACGCCCGCTTCCGGCGGCTTTCTTCTGTCGGCGGCCGGCCGCCCCCGCGGTCGTCCGGCCACTTAGGCCCGCTGCTGACGGCGCCGCTTTGGCCGCCGCGCGCCATGTCCGCTCCTCCCCTGGTCTGTTCGGCTCCCTCGGCGTTCACTTCCCCCCCCCCCTTCGCCCTCCTTGCCGCCCTCGGGCTCCCCTCCCCCACCCGTTTGCTGCGGCCTGTGGAACGGTTCCAATCCCTATCAATTGCGGTCTGAGTTCGCGGTATACGGTGTCTGATGGAAACGTTGCACGAATGTGACTGTTAGTTCCTGTGAGCTTTTATATCGTATTTAGCGGCTGTTTCTGGTGCGCTCCGGGCAGTTCACCCTCCAGCTGCTGAAATTTGAAAACAAGTGCAGCTATATTATGCTACTTTCAAGTGCAATCACACAAAACGTTGTCTGGTTAGCCAGGGCATATCGATTTGCTTAAAGTGTAAGGCACGTTTTACTTGTGTGCTGGCTGTGGAACCGCATGCGTATTCTGCCGCGTGTTTTGTTTTTCTCATACTTTCTAAATCTTTTTTATCAGCATTGGGGAAAAGCACACACACATAGCTGTCATGCCCACATTGCAAGGCTATTGCGAGCATGCATATATGGAGCTGTACCAGCCTATTCCAGTACGTATGGACCACTTTTATGTTTGCCTGCAAACACAATTTTTACATCGCATGTTGCGAACTAGGTCAGTGGTAAGCGTTACACGGTATTCAAGAGCGTTGCACCCCCAAAGACTAAAGTCGTGGGCGTCGTTGGTCGGTTTTAGACCCCGTTCCCAAATAAGAAATGCTGTTGGCCCAAACCTGGCCCGCTTCTAGATTGGTGCCACAATAACTTCGTTTCATGCCACCTTGGATAATCTCAATTGTGCATTGCAAAGCACGCCATCTGTAGAATCGATCAACGAACCTGGACAACTGATTACATTAGGCTCAACATGCGACCTTCTTTCTGCGAGCGATCTTCCTCCTTCTTCCCGCTAGTAAGCCTCTTGACCAGTATCGGCTGCTGGTTGTGTAGTCGTTGCGAATGATATTTGAGCCTGCTCAAACGTCTTCGCTACCCTATTAGCCGGATGAGGGCTTTCAGCGCAGCAACTAGGTCAGGTGAACAATCCTAGGCCTCTGGCTGCCGGACCGTTTTTGTGCAGGCCGTTTTTCTGGGGGCCCTCCACGAGTGGGGTGGTGTGTGCCTCACACGGCCTATCCGCCCGCGAACTAGACCGTGGCGGACGACTGGCTGGCCTATTTTCTTGCATACGTGCCCTATTGGTTCAGTGGCGCAAAAGTTCCGAACTCCTCCGACGCGAATCCCTCTGACATGATAAATATCTAATTTTTCGTTTCATTCCACGCTATTAACGCGACGTACTCCGTTCAATAGGGACGGCGTTGGATGATATTGTGCGCGCTCGATGACGGGGAAAATAGTGTTTATCACCGCCTCTCAGCAATATACATCTCCGGGCAGTACAGCTTCATTTCAGTGGCCCTTGTGACGAGAGAGAGCTGTGGAGAGTTCCACCCACTGCGAACGTGTTGCTGGTTCATATTTGATGGCCGACGTGATGAATTATTCAGATGAGCTTAGATCCAGCTAATCAGGATTCCCTTTTCACTATACGACGACGGGAAAGAATCTGGGCGAGTTATAGCTCTCGCAAGGCAAGATTAGCCGGCGATGATATTCATTTCAATACTTATATAAATTTATTCGCTAAACTTTTCCATCATCAAAGGTTTTCAAAGCTCACCAGCGCAGCTGCGCGGCGAACAGGCCGCGGCCCGGCCGGGCTTTATGAAACGCTCTCGGGCGGCAGCTGCCTGGCTCTGACAGCGATCAACGACGTGACACGGGGATGTGAGGACACGACGCCGACATCTGTCGGCCCGGGCGGACGCGTCGGCAGCGACTGTCACCCGCCGACGGTCGACACACGGCGGGGCGACCTCGGCCGCCGCAGGTGACGCGCGCGGTGACGCACCGCCTGCAGGCTCGCTGGGGACGGCCCGGTG